ACTTCCCCCCCTCGCTCGCCGCCGACATGCGCACCATCTTGCGCGAGCCCCGTGCACGCGTCTGGTGCCACGACGCGACGCGAAGGCAGGCAGGGGGGACAGACCTGCTATCAGACTCCCTGGGACACCCGCCCCCCAGGATTAAGTTGGGCGTGTCCTCCCACAGAGGGATTTTGGACGAGAAATAAAAAATAATCAAAAAATGTTCAAAAATTGTCGCACGCAAAGAAAATGTTCAAAAATTATCCTGGCGAAAGACCCAACCATATGCAGTTGTGGGCACCGCAATTGTAAATATCCTCTTCGGTAAAGTTCCCTCTGGGGCCACGACTATGGCCGTCGGTGGAGCTTCCTATGCGGCCACGAAACGCTGTACTGGGTGGGCGAAAATGCCAAATTGGTGTGTGGGGCGCACGCGGATGGTCACACTGGAGGCTTCGCTGCAGCTTCCTCTGAGGCCACGAAACGTTGCACTCGATGGGTGACAATGCCAACTTCGGTTTCCGGGACGCATGCGGACGGTCCTACTGGGGGCTTCGGTGGAGCTCCCTATGGGGCCACGAAACGTTGTACTGGGTGGGTGAAAATGCCAAATTGGGTTTCCGGGACGCATGCGGACGGTCACACTAGGGGCTTCTGTGGAGCCCCGAATGTGGCCACGAAAGGCTATACTGGGTGGGTGAAAATGCCAAATTTGGTGTGCGGGACTCATGCGGACGGTCCCACTGGGGGCTTCGGTGGAGCTTCCTATGGGGCCACGAAACGCTGCACTGGGTGGGTGAAACTGCCAAATTGGGTGTGTAGGACGCATGTGGGCGGTCCCACTGGGGGCTTCGGTGGAGCTCCCTATTGGGCCACGAAGCGCTGTACTGGGCGTGGCGGACGCATGTGGCCACCCCCACAGGGGCCTTACGTGGAGCTCCCTATGGGGCCACGAAACGCTGTGTTGGGTGTGGCGGACGCATGTGGCAACCCCGCCACGAAACGCTGTAGTGGGTGGGTGAAACGCATGGAGGAAGGAGGAGGGGGAGGAGGAGAGAGAAGGAGACGCGGGGACCGTCTCTTCAAAACGAGGACCCAACACCACGGGACGGTTGGGAAGTACTCCCCAGACTATTTTTGAACTATCTTTGAATATTCCTCCTGTAGGGGGACAGGCCCGACTTAACCCCAGGCTGAGCCTCGACCGCCCGCCCACCCCCTTTCGAGGGGGCCCAGGGACACGCGGAATAAATTGCCGGAGAGCTCCTTGGAGAGCTAAGAGGGTTTGAGACAAGAAGCCGGCAGGCACGTCTGCGCCAGCTCCTCTCCAAGGCTCCCAGGCATGCAGGCATCCACGCAGCGCCCTGCCTGACGTTGCGGCGTGTCCCGAGAGCGTTCTCATACTCGCTCCCAATGCGCTTGCCCGAAGCGTTTCCGCAGCTCTTTCGCAGCTCCTTCGAAGCTCTCTCTCTCGCAGCTCCTTCAGTTTCGTCCTTGCAAGCGTCCACCGCAGGAACTTCACGCGCTTTGGCCTGCGCTGCTAGCCGGGTGTGGAACTACACAAGTAGACACAAATCCCAGGATTCCCCGCATGTGTCCATATTTCCCAGATTTTCGTCTTCCCTCCACGTTCCATACTTCCCCATATTTACCAAGCGATCGACGATTAGTTGTGTAGGTATGATTTTCTCCCCCGTGTGGACGGCTGAAATGTATCCTCGACCTGCTGCACTCCGCCAGCCGAGTCTACACCTCGCCTCTCGTGTGCAGCCCGCGCCCCGCGCCGCCTTCACTGGCCCCCCGGGAACCCGAAAGGGCCTCTGGAGACCCAAAAGTCAAAACAGCCGGCCATCCCACTTTAGCGACGATCAACAACGGGCCTCACGCGAGATGATGTAGCGACCTTACGCGGTGGCTTACGCGGGCCGCCAGCGCGGCACGCTGCATTGGAAGCGGGGGCGCTTACGCGCGACCTTACACGGGCAGCTTACGCGCCAATGTCGGTGAAGACGCTCTCGTTTCTCTGCATGGATCACTTGTCGAACGAACAACACGTACCCATATCCATAGGGGGCTGGGGAAAGAAAGGACTGGCTGTGGGTACGAGTGCGGGCTGTCTGACCCAGGGGAGGCTCCCGTTCGAGAGGGGGCCCCCATCCGACAGCACGCACCCAGTCCCCTCCGCCCCCCCTATGGGTATGGGTGTGTGTGTGTGTGTGTTGCTCGTTCTTCACTGCTTGCGTTAAGTCGGGCCTGTCCCTTTACAGGGGGAATATTCAAAAATAGTCAAAAAGTAGTCTGGGGACGATGTTAGACTATTCTTGAATCATCTTTTCAAATATGTTGGGGGCATTTGTAATTGCTCGTCCAAAAAATCCCCCTGTAGGGGGACAGGCCCGACCGAATGCTTGCGCCAAAACGCTGGAAGCGGCGCGCGAGAGGAGGCCGCGTGCGAGGGGGGAACGGCCTCTCCGAGGCGGCCGCTCCGAGGGCAGGCTCCCGGGGGGGAGGGGCGGCCTTCTTGGAAGGCCGCCCCCCACCCTCGGGGGCGCGCAAGCACGGAGTAGCGATGCAGGGACTTGGCGCGCGGTCGCCAAACCCGTGGATCGGGAGAGGCGCCCTTCCTTACCTTACCAGCCTCGAACGTATCCCTATCCCTAAGATTGACACGCCAGAAGGCGATGACGATCTTAGGGAGTCGCCCTCAAAAAATAAGGGAATCCCTAAGATTGGCATCGTGATGAGGAGGTGCCCAGCATAGGGATAGGGATATGTTCCAGGCTGGTAATTACCTGCCGCCGGTGCCGCCTCGTCCAGGGGCGGACGTCCGCGACCGCCCATGGAAACGGGAACCCCGTCGCCAGTGCACGCCCACTGGATCCGCGGCTGCGGTCGCCTGACCTTCGCGCCGCCCCCCGACACAAGAACCTCGCTCCGAGCTGGCCTGCCTGGACCCTCCCAATCGGGTCGGACGGCGAAAGGGGGGGATAGCAAAGGGGGGGTTTGAGAATCAGCTCGCGTGGCTGATTTTCCCGGCGCCTCCCGGCGCCGGAGGCGGCCATGTATTATCGAGGAATGGGCCCCTCGGTGAGGCCGAAACCAGCTGCATGCAGCAACAAATTTCGTAACCCCCCCTTTCCCAATCCCCCCTTTCGTCCGGCCCGACCCAAGCAAGGTCCATCCTGGCCCGTGGTCCGAGCCGCGTCCGGCCGAGCACGGACCGTCTCACGTCGTGGCCTCATCCAGCACAAGAGGCCCCCACGCCTCTCGACCCCCCCTTCGCGGGGACCGGCGTCTCATCCCTCGGCGACTTGTCCATGATCCCGAGGCCCAGAACAGGTTCTTCTGGAGGCAGCGACGACTGAAAATCGCTGGCACCGAACTAGGGGGCCGAAGAAGGGGGAGACGAAACGAGGAGGAGGAAGAAGGAGAAGAAGGATGAGAAGGATAAGAAGAGGAAGAGGAGGAAGAGGAGGAAGAGGAGGAAGAAGAAGAAGAAGAGGAGGAAGAGCCCCCTCTGACCCCCCACGAACCTGACACAGGAGCGCCCTACTCCGAGGCCAGCCCCGCCAGCGGCGGACTCGGCGCGCTCGGCCTCGCCCCGACGCCGGGGCAGAGGAGCCCGCCGCCGCCCCGGCGGGCAGCCGCTGGGCGCGCGCGGGGAGCGGCCGCGGGCAGCGACCGCCTCGGCGCCGCCCCGCTCGGCGGGCGGAGCGCCCCACGGCCTGGCCGAGGGCCCTCGCCGGCCTGGACTCTCGGACAGGCTGTGGGCGCTGCCGAGCGAGGAGCGTGTTGGAGGCCTGGAGATGGGCACCAACACCAAGACAGGGGGCCGCCTCCGCAGGGGGGAGATGGTCCTAGATGTCGGTGTTGGTGGTGATATTTCGGTCACCTTGGAAGCCAGAATATGACCACCATCACCGAGATCGGGATCGCCATCCCTCGGTGGAAGCAAACCACCGATATTGGTGTTGGTGTCAACCTTCAGGCCTGCGAGGCGCCTGCGACGCTGCAGCCCCAGCTTCCTTCGGGCTCGGGCCCAGCCGGGGAGAGCTGCGACACTGGCCCAAGATGCCCTCTCCCATGCCACGCATGCTCGCGGGGCGCGCTGTCGCGAAACACGTGCCAGCTCATGTCCGTGGGCGTCCTTTTTCCGCCCCTGACCAGCGCGACGGCCCCCTCCGCGCGCTGTCGGAACGTCGCCATCATGAACGCCATGGGCGTCGGGACGACGGCGCCGCGGACTCGACTACACGCAATGGCAACCCTGGGCAAGAGATAATCTTAAAAATGCTGGGGGCGTTTGTTCGTGTTCAAGACCTACGCTTGTTTTTCAGATGTGGGGTTCATTTTTTTGTTGGGGGATTCTCGTTCGCGCTGCCCTTGTTTTTTTTCTGCTGCGGACTGCCGTCGTTGATTGCTCCGTGTAGGTTGGCCGAAAACCGACAGGTTGAAAACGGAGGAAAACAGCACAAAACAAAAAGCGCTTCTCACATCACCTCTGGCACGCGGCTTTGGGAGGGGAGCGCGGGCGGCCAAAACCTGAGCGCGCAAGCGCCCGCCCGAACCCTGCCCAGCCTTCTCTGGAGGGGGCGCCCCCCCCCTTCCAATGCTAATGGGACCCGCCCCCCACCATTCCCCAGCCTTGCGAAGGGACTCGCCCCCTCCGCCCTGTGGTTATGGCCCTGAGGGCGTGGCGTGATGAGGTTGTCGTCGTCGTCGTCGTCGTCGGCGCTGCGAGCCCGCAGTAGAAGCAGCCCCGACGGAGGCTCCCTCCTGCGAGTAGCCGGCCGAGGGCCGGCCGCCGCCCCTCCCCCCCCCCCCGCCAGCCCCCTGGCGCCCCCTTGCCCTCCCCCTGGGAGGCCCCCTTGCGCCCCCTGGCGCCCCCTCCTCCTCCTCCTCCTCCTCCTCCTCCTCCTCCTCCTCCGCCGCCGCCGCCGCCGCCGCCGCCGCCGCCGCCGCCGCCGCCGCCCGCCTCCTCTGCCGCCCGCCCCCTCCGCGCTGCGGGCGGGCGCGGCCTGCCGCTCCCGCGGGCGCGGGTGCCGGCGCGTCGCCGGCGGCGCTGGCGGCGGCCCGCTGGAGACCCTGTGGGGGGGCTGGTGCTGCTCCCATCTCGGGGGCCACGGGCGAACCCTGCCCCTACCGACTCCGAGCACAGCGACCCACCTTGCTCACCCTCGAGGCAGACTCCTCTGGCCATCTGCCCGCGTCCTGGGGGTAGGCGGGGTGCTCGTCAGAGAAGGGCCCGTCTCGCAAGGGGGGTGGGGTTCACCTCGCTCGGGAGCTCACGAAGTGAACCCCACCCGCCCCCTCAGAAAGCGTGGGGGGTAGGGGTAGGGTTCGCATGTGGCCCCCTACCATCGGAAAGTGCAGGAACACCGAGCGTCGAAAGTCGGAAAGTGCCGGGGGGCTGGTGCTGCTCCCGTCGGAAAGTGCCTTGGCGGCGAGCGAGGGAGGGAAGTGAGGAGGAGAAGGCTTTCTCAGAAGGCGGCGGGGGTTCTCAGAAGCCCTCGCGCCTTCTGAGAAGTTTTTGTCCGTCTTCGGGGAAGGCTTAGAACACTTCTCAAAAGGCCGGGGGACTTCCGAGCCTTCTGAGAAGGCCCGCCCCTTCTCACTTCCCCCCCTCGCTCGCCGCCGAGTGCCGGAACACCGAGCGTCGAAACCGTGTCGAAAGAGCGTCGCACAGTGGCCTGCGCTGCTCCCGTCGGAAGGTGTCGAAGCGGTGTCGGAGGAGCAGCGCGTCCCAGGGCCCGACGCGTGAAACCTCCAGCTTGGGTACTTTCCTGGTGCTCGAAAGTCTTTCTGGTGATCGAGGCTAAAGTAGGGTGGAACATCCTAAGGGGGGGGTGTGCCGACGTCGTCGGCGTCGTCGTCAGCGTCGTCGTCGTCAGCGTCGTCAGGTTCAGCGTCGTCGTCGTCGTCGTCGTCTTCGTCGTCGTCGTCAGTCTCCCCCTCTCGTCCCCGCGGGCGTCCACGGCGACAAAAACGGCCGAAAACAAACCGAAACGACAGCAGAAACCAGACCGACCGAACCAAAAGACCGAGCGCAACCTAGAAGGACGCTGCGGCGCGCTGGATCGACCGAACGCATCCGACTGCGAAGCTCGTACCCCTTTCCGAACTCCCTTCCCTCCCTCCCTCCTCCTCCCTCCGTCCCTCCCTCCTCCTCCTCCTTCTCCAGAGCTCCCCCTCCTGGCATCGCTCGGACGTCCATTCCCTGTGTTTTTTTCGGTTTCGTGCGTGGTTTTTTCGCCAAATGATCAAGGATGCTCCTCGATCGCCCTCGCCGAGAAAAAATGCACACGTCCGCGCGATGCCAGGCCCTCCTCCCACGGCGCTGGCTCGCTGAAGGCCCTCGGGGGCGCGGGCTCGTGGGAGGGCCTCCGCCGGTGAGAGCGCCTCGTCCGCCGACGCTACCCTCCCGCGCCCCGTAGCGCTCTTGGGGCGTCTGGCTCTCTCTCGTTGGCGGGGCCGTCCATGGGGACGGCAACATTGACAACAACAACAACAACAACAACAACAACAACAACAACAACAACAACAACAACAACAACAACAACAGCAGCAACAGCAACAACAACAATCACTTTACCCGAACGCTCAGTGTTCTCACCAGTGCCAGGGTTCTCATGCGACGCCAGCCAATACCCCCACTTTGTGGGGGGGCAGTGCAAGCTCTACCAAATATCCACACGACTCTTCGCCACCACCCACACCCAGCTTCCCGCCCTATGACGTTCGGACACTTCACTTCGTGGCCTGCGGACGACCGTGGCTACTACACTGGCGTGGAGTACACACCCACAGAAGTTGTTAAGCCTACGTTCGTACACCCACAGAAGTTGTTAAGCCTTGTTAACCCACAGAAGTTGTTAAGCCTTCCACAGAACATCCGAGGGCGCAACCTATGGCGCAACCGCAAGGGATTGTGGCCCCTGGCAGGCGCGCGAACCCCGTTGCAAGAGCGTGCGAAAGTAGCTCGCGCGAGCTCATGTAACATAAATGTTGGAAAACCATTGGTTTTTTTTAGGATTCGGACAGCGCGCGCGGGTAGAAATTTTGAAAAGTCGTGCAGGTGTTTTTCGAGGACCTACGGTGCGATTCGTGTGATTTTATGATGCGCGGTGCTAAAATTCTTAAGAAGCCCAATGGTTTTTGGAGATTTCGGCGTGCGCGCGCGAAGAAAAAACGAATGTGTCCCGCATGGTATTATTTGACAGGGATGATGGCCCTGGCAGGTGCGCAACCGTTGTCGCAGAAGTTCGAAAAAGTTGCTCGCAAAAGCCCGTTTGACAGAAATGTTTAAAAAGTGTTGGGTTTCCTACGAATCCGCAAGAGCGCGCGGGATGAGATTTTGACATTTTTTTGTTGAAAAACCATTGGTTTTTTGATGTTTTTATGTTAAAATCGCTCCGAACACTAAGCTTTTGGAAGGATTTCGTCTTGCGCGCGCGAATGTCCACTTTACCTTATTTTTTGCAAGGGATTCTTGAAATTTGATTATATTAGAACAAGAAATGTCATTTTATAGTGTTTTTTGCAAGGGAAAGCGGGGGGGAACAAAACAACCGGATCTTGATCACAT